AGGGGGGGGGGGGGCGCTGGCGTCCGACGTGTCTGCTAATTGAAGCCGCCTCAATTTTGATGCTGGACTCAGCATCAAAACTGATGCAGCATCAGAAAATCAGCCGGGAGTCGGCTTCACCAGGTGAAGCCGCCTCAACGGCATATGCGCTCCCCCGGCGCACTGTTCGACGCGGCATGAAAGTCCGCGCCGGGCCTCCGCCTTGCGCGTCGATGCGGCTCCGTTTATGATGCTCCCTCAAACCTCAGCTCTAAATCCCTGGGCTGGACTTTTGGAACACCCTGTATTTCTTAGCAAGTGTAATATGATTTTCATCGATTGGTGAATTTAGCTTTAGCTTTCCTCAGGTAAGGAAGTTGGAGAACTCCTGAGAAGGAAGTAATCTCATAGAATGGAAGAAAATATACATACACCAAATCACGCTAAAGATTTCAATCAGATTTTACAAGAACTAAGCACAAAATGTAGGTACATAATACTTTCTAGTTTGAAACTCATCGTTGTTCCTTTGGCGTAAGGGCTATCTCGATTCACGCATGAGACCCAAAAAGCATGGGTTTAAATGTAAAGCAGGGTTGCGTGGAAATTGAGACACGCCCTCACTTACGTCAGAAGGCCGATGTCACGGGTAAAACTTGGGGTAAAAATCAGGTTGAGAAATCAGTAAAGAAATTTGAAAACAGGCATCATACCACTCTATGGAGAGCAGCTAATCGTATAACTCGGATCGACGTTATCAGATTTAAGCGTTTACCTTTTTTTTTTTTAGCTATTTCTTAAAGTTGCCTATTTGCATAGCAGCAAAAAGTAAAGGATAATTAAGGAAAAGTAAAGGGTCCCGGGAATGAGTATGTTTACTGTATGTTTACCGAGTTGGTGAAAATGGCAACGTCATCAATGACGCCACTGAACCTAGAATTACAGTCTCGAGACTTAGGTACTGAAAAAACGTATGCCAAAAATTTTTTATAAAAATCTTGCAATTACAGTGAAATTGGTGGTTTTGATGTTACACAGGAATCGCGGGGCAATCCCCCCCCCCCTTTTCCAAAAATTGATTAAATTCTCAATTAACGGCCGATACGTACACTTTACTGACTAGGCCCCCTGAAATGAATGGAATAAAATGAGGCATTCATAGGCATATCACATGAATTACTTAGTATACTATCCAGTTTTCTAGTCTCAATATTGTCCAGGAAAGCGTCAGTTTTTCCGGAGTAAATGAAAATAACAGCGCTATCACTTAAAGCACCGAATTCAGATCAAAATTCTGCGTTCGTAGACATGCAGCAATGTTCATTTTAACGGAATTTTATTTTTCGAAATTTTTCGGGTTCTTTGAAAAATTGTGGGTTTTGCAACCTTTGAGTTCAGACGATCGCACATCCCCACTTGCTCGAAAACGCTGCTACGCGGTGCCGATGCCAGAGCATGAGTCGCTGTTAAAGGAATCCAAGGTCTTAGGTTCCAGGGCAACGAACTCCGTCAAAGATATTTTTAAAAGGTCCGCGCATGAGAATCCATTCATGATAAATCTAGGTAAAGGCCCATAGCATTAGGGATATTGTGTGGAAGAAACAAAAGCAGCCGCAGGTCGACCGGACAGACAAAAGAATAGCGCGGCGCGAGCCGCGAAAGGAATGCGCGGGGCAAATGGTCGCCGTATAATAATCAAAATTTGTTTTACGTTTGTCAACAATGTAAGTAGTTCTGATTAGTTACGTAGATGGCGCTCGAATCAGTACGTTTTTAAGTTCCGACAATGATTACAATTTCAGTCGGAGAGAAAATCGTCTTGCTACCATCATTATCGGGACTCCCTTAAAATTGTGAATTTGATGAGAGTTGTTTAAATTAGGATCAAAGTAAACATAATTTCAAACACAGGAGGAGGCTACTCTTCAACGTCATACGTAATTTCCCTGTATTTCGACATTTTACTCATGGATTTTGCCTGAAAACACTGTCGGGACCCGAGTGAGGTCCCGACAATGATAGGGAGTCCCGACAGTGCGGTCCGTAGACGACGCTAAGTCCCGACAATGATAGCTACTTCATCTCTCCCCCTCTCTCTCCCTCTCGCGCTTCTTCCAACCTTTTTCGACACCTGTCACG